CATCAGTTTCTCAGGTTAAATTATTTATTTTGTGTGTGTGTTGGATTTTGTCGGCTGTGGGATTGGAAGTAATGGAAACCTTAGAGTGGTTAGTATAGTTTTATCATCCACTGTGTCTTTGTATTTTTTAAGGCAAATCTGGCTGTCACCCCAAAAAACATTTTTAAATATATGGTAAAATAAGTGAAAGCATAATAAGCCCACTTCTGATCCTGATAAACTCCAACATAGATTGTCTGAAAAACAAACAAATAGACAGAAGTGAGGACGACTCATTAATGTTGAGCTGCAAAGTCACCCGAGTCGTCCAAATGCTTTTATCCCGAGCACCTTTGAGTACCTTGAGTGCTTCTAATTTTAGAAATATGATCCAAGTGGGAATCAATCAGCTTATCTTGAGAGTTAATGTAATACTTAACTTGACATTTGGATGTGCTGAGGGAGTGAACATCCACCAGCGTAACTCAATGCATGACGCCGAAATCTAAGCTAAAAATATGAAGAATTAATTAGGTGCTCTTTCAGAAAACAGTCTACGCCACAATATCCAAACCAGGCCTGAAACTTCAGCTTTTAGCTGGATGAATTTCACATTTCAGATAATTACTTTAGCACCTTGAAATGTTAAGAAGCTAATATTAGCTATAATAGTAAGATAAAACAGTTAATAACTATAGTGTTCTGAATCACAGGCTTTACAGTGCAATAAAAGCAGCACACAGTGAACCTGTATGTAGTATTGTGTGGAAATAAGGTTTTTTTGTTTTTGGAATTCATATATATTTAAAAGGCCGTCACATATGTGCATGTAGAGGTAGATGTGTATGTATAGATAGAGAAATAAGGTATACTTTATTTATCTCAAAGGCTAGGAGAATCCTGTTATATGGGTCAAAGAATGAAACACAACTTGTTACAAAACAGCTTGAGTAGAATAGAGTAGTGTGAAGTTGGACCCTTAGCACTTCTTTATTTTGACATTCGGTTTTACTGTGGTTTTACAATGGGACACAGACACTCCCGCTCCGCTGTCAGGTCCGCTCTCCTCCCCTCCGACTGTCACTGTGAACATATAAAGAGTCACAATCACATTCACATCCCAGCACGCCTGTTCACGCCGCCCCGGGAGCTCGCTGCGTCACCCCTCCTCTGCAGCCTGCCAGAGACCACACCCACGCCACAAGTAGCTTGAGAAAAATAAATTGGGATGTAACAAAACAGAATATTTAATAACATAACAATTTACAAAAGAAAGCCGTTCAGTTAGTAAAAATCTTTATAAAATACAAAGTAAAAAAACACAACACAACCTAAAATTTTTAGTAGCAATTTCTGATGTTGTACTTTTTTCCATTGACTGTTTTCCAGGCTTTGAGGTATCCATACTTCTATGTAGGACAGACACTTGGTGCCCCACTAAAGCACTCAGAACAGCAGGCCCAGAAGAAGAAGATTTCTGAGACAGCTGCAGATCTGAAGCCTCTGTCCCTCTGTAAGCCTCATCTGGACCCCTGCGAGCTTGTCACGACCCACGCTGAGCCTCAGACCTGCAGCCAATCTCTCCATCAGCCTATCCAGCAGATTCCTCTTCCTCAGGAGGATATAGAGAAGAGCACACTTCAACCAGTGTGTCCCAGCACACTGACAGAGGGACAGCAGGAGCCTCTCAGTCTGGTGAAAAGAAGACCACCAGAGCACTGTCAGCCTGTAAACGTCACTGAGGTGAAGGCTTTCAGCATTAAACAGTGAACCCAATCATGGCCGGATGATTAGTATAAGGCTTGGGTTTTTGAGGGAGCTAAACTTTTATCTTCTTTATTTACGCTTCCACACTGGATACAGCTTTATTTAAATATAAAGAATAACAAAAATAATAATTTAATACTCATTTCTCGTTTAACATTTGCCTCACGTTAAATCAGCGAGGAGCCGAGAATAGACATGCCCGGCCTGCACGACGGCAGTGGGGCCAAACATCTTTCAGGTCGGTGGACAGTTGGGACGACAGTGACGATAAAGACACCGGCGCTTCCATCTCCAAAAAACCCACCATCACTTCTCTGAGGAACAGCTGTCGGTGAGAGACCCTCATCATCAGGTGAAATGTCGTCATCAGAGTTTCAGGAAACGTTAAAAAATAAAGTTATAATGCAGATTTTCAGAGTCAAAGAACAACAGAGGATCAAAACTGCCAAGCAACAGCAGACTGAGCCGAGATGACTCCAACACCATGTCAGCCAAGCAGCACTACCTCCACCAGTCCAGATATATGCCTGGTGAGAAAAACATAGTAATAATAATAGCAATAATAATTAACCATGTTTACACATAAACGCCACAATGAAAAGAACCAAAGGTAGGTGAACATAATCCAAAAACAAAAATCCCACCTGCCCTAAATTTCATTAAACA